GTACCTGTGTGTGTGTTAGTACCTGTGTGTGTGTTAGTACCTGTGTGTGTGTGTTAGTACCTGTCTGTGTGTGTTAGTACCTGTGTGTGTGTTAGTACCTGTGTGTGTGTTAGTACCTGTCTGTGTGTGTTAGTACCTGTGTGTGTGTTAGTACCTGTGTGTGTGTTAGTACCTGTATGTGTGTGTGTTAGTACCTGTGTGTGTGTTAGTACCTGTGTGTGTGTTAGTACCTGTGTGTGTGTGTTAGTACCTGTGTGTGTGTGTTAGTACCTGTGTTAGTACCTGTGTCAGTACCTGTGTGGGTGTGTTAGTACCTGTGTTAGTACCTGTGTCAGTACCTGTGTGAGCACCTGTGTTAGTACCTGTGTGTGTGTGTGTGTTAGTACCTGTGTGTGTGTGTTAGTACCTGTGTGTATGTTAGTACCCGTGTGTGTGTGTCAGTACCTGTGTGTGTGTGATGAGTGAGCACCTGCGAGTGTCAGTACCTGTGTGTGTGTTAGTACCTGTGTGTGTGTTAGTACCTGTGTGTGTGTTACTACCTGTGTCAGTACCTGTGTGTGTGTTAGTACCTGTGGCAGTACCTGTGTGTGTGTGTGTTAGTACCTGTGTCAGTACCTGTGTGTGTGTGTGATGAGTGAGCACCTGTGTCAGTACCTGTGTCAGTACCTGTGTGTGAGTGTGAGTACCTGTGTGTGTGTTAGTACCTGTGTGTGTGTTAGTACCTGTGTGTGTGTTAGTACCTGTGTCAGTACCTGTGTGTGTGTTAGTACCTGTGTGTGTTAGTACCTGTGTCAGTACCTGTGTGTGTTAGTACCTGTGTCTGTACCTGTGTGTGTTAGTACCTGTGTCAGTACCTGTGTGTGTGTTAGTACCTGTGTCAGTACCTGTGTGTGTGTGTTAGTACCTGTGTCAGTACCTGTGTGTGTGTGTGATGAGTGAGTACCTGTGTCAGTACCTGTGTGTGATGAGTGAGTACCTGTGTCAGTACCTGTGTGTGTGTTAGTACCTGTGTGTGTGTTAGTACCTGTGTGTGTGTGTTAGTACCTGTGTGTGTGTGTTAGTACCTGTGTCAGTACCTGTGTGTGATGAGTGAGTACCTGTGTCAGTACCTGTGTGTGTGTTAGTACCTGTGTCTGTACCTGTGTGTGTGTTAGTACCTGTGTCAGTACCTGTGTGTGTGTGATGAGTGAGTACCTGTGAGTGTGTGTGTGATTGAGTACCTGTGAGTGTGTGATGAGTGAGTACCTGTGTGAGTACCTGTGTGTGTGTGTGTGAGATGAGTGAGTACCTGTGAGTGTGTGTGTGATGAGTGAGTCCCTGTGTCAGTACCTGTGTGTGTGTGTGTTAGTACCTGTGTCAGTACCTGTGTGTGTGTGATGAGTGAGTACCTGTGAGTGTGTGTGTGATTGAGTACCTGTGAGTGTGTGATGAGTGAGTACCTGTGTCAGTACCTGTGTGTGTTAGTACCTGTGTCAGTACCTGTGTGTGTGTGTTAGTACCTGTGTCAGTACCTGTGTGTGATGAGTGAGTACCTGTGTCAGTACCTGTGTGTATGTGTGTGATGAGCGAGTACCTGTGTGTGTGTGATGAGAGTACCTGTGAGCGTGAGCACCTGCGAGTGTGACTACCTGTGGCAGTACCTGTGTGTGTGTGATGAGTGAGTACCTGTGTCAGTACCTGTGTGTGTGTTAGTACCTGGGTCAGTACCTGTGTGTGTGTGATGAGTGAGTACCTGTGTGTGTGTGTGTTAGTACCTGTGTGTGAGTGTGAGTACCTGTGTCAGTACCTGTGTGTGTGTGTTAGTACCTGTGTCAGTACCTGTGTGTGTGTTAGTACCTGTGTCAGTACCTGTGTGTGTGTTAGTACCTGTGTCAGTACCTGTGTGTGATGATTGAGTACCTGTGTCAGTACCTGTGAGTGTGTGTGTGATTGAGTACCTGTGAGTGTGTGTGATGAGTGAGTACCTGTGTCAGTACCTGTGTGTGTGTTAGTACCTGTGTCAGTACCTGTGTGTGAGTGTGAGTACCTGTGTCAGTACCTGTGTGTGTGTTAGTACCTGTGTCAGTACCTGTGTGTGTTAGTACCTGTGTCAGTACCTGTGTGTGTGTGATGAGTGAGTACCTGTGTCAGTACCTGTGTGTGTGTGTTGAGTGAGTACCTGTCAGTACCTGTGTGTGTGTGATGAGTGAGTACCTGTGTCAGTACCTGTGTGTGTGATGAGTGAGTACCTGTCAGTGCCTGTGTGTGTGTGTGTGTGATGAGTGAGTACCTGTCAGTTCCTGTGTGTGTGTGATGAGTGAGTACCTGTGAGCGTGAGCACCTGCGAGTGTGAGTACCTGTGTCAGTACCTGTGTGTGTGTTAGTACCTGTGTCAGTACCTGTGTGTGTGTGTGTGATGAGTGAGTACCTGTGAGTGTGTGTGATGAGTGAGTACCTGTGTCAGTACCTGTGTGTGTGATGAGTGAGTGCCTGTGTGAGTACCTGTGTGTGTGATGAGTGAGTGCCTGTGTGAGTACCTGTGTGTGTGTGTGTGTGATGAGTGAGTACCTGTGAGTACCTGTGTGTGTGATGAGTGAGTACCTGTGAGTACCTGTGTGTGTGTGAGATGAGTGAGTACCTGTGTGAGTACCTGTGTGTGTGTGATGAGTGAGTACCTGTGAGTGTGTGTGTGATTGAGTACCTTTGTGTGTGTGTGATGAGTGAGTACCTGTGTGAGTACCTGTGTGTGTGATGAGTGAGTGCCTGTGTGAGTACGTGTGTGTGTGATGAGTGAGTGCCTGTGTGAGTACCTGTGTGTGTGATGAGTGAGTACCTGTCAGTACCTGTGTGTGTGTGATGAGTGAGTACCTGTGTGCGTACCTGTGTGTGTGTGATGAGTGAGTGCCTGTGTGAGTACCTGTGTGTGTGTGATGAGTGAGTGCCTGTGTGAGTACCTGTGTGTGTGTGATGAGTGAGTACCTGTGTGTGTGTGATGAGTGAGTACCTGTGAGTACCTGTGCGTGTGTGTGATGAGTGAGTACCTGTGAGTACTTGTGTGTGTGCGATGAGTGAGTACCTCTGTGAGTGTGAGCACCTGCGGGTACCTGTGTGTTCCTGTGAGTGCCTGTGTCAGTACCTGCGAGCGTGAGTACCTGTGCCAGTACCTGCGAGTGTGAGTACCTGTGTCAGTACCTGTGAGTGTGAGTACCTGTGCCAGTACCTGGGAGTGTGAGTACCTGTGTCAGTACCTGTGAGTGTGAGTACCTGTGAGAGTACCTGGGAGTGTGAGTACCTGTGTCAGTACCTGTGAGTGTGAGTACCTGTGAGAGTACCTGTGAGCGTGAGTACCTGTGTCAGTACCTGTGAGTGTGAGTACTTGTGAGATTACCTGTGAGAGTACCTGCGAGCGTGTGTACCTGTGAGAGTACCTGTGAGGATACCTGTGTGAGTACCTGTGTGGGGAGCGGTAGTGTAGTGGTTAGCGAGCTGCGCTACGAACCCGGCGACCAGAGTTCGATTCCCGCTCACGGCCAACACCACCAGTGACGATTATAATCTGCACCGGTCCTAGGCCTTCCCTAGCTCTACTTAATAGAGTACCCGGTGCGGTGTGTAGTAAACATCGCCACTAGGGGAGACAAAGGCGGCCGGGCGTGGTGCTGGCCACCCACCCCCTCGTGTGCCGTGCCGGCCTTCACAGGTGCTGCTCGCTAACAGCACTTTGCCCCTACAGGCTGTTAAGGCTACACGGGGGATCTTTGTCTGTGTACCTTTGAGCATGAGTACCTGTCTCTGAGTACGTGTGTGTGAGTTCCTGTGAGGGTAAGCACCCGGCGACCCGGGTTCGATTCCCGCTCACGGCCAACAACAACACCGCCGACGATTTTCTGAACCGGTCCCGGGCCTCTCCCCTAGGTCAGCTCGGCCTCAGATGAGTAGCTGGTGCGGTGCGTAAACATCGTTACTAGGGGAGACAAACGCGGCCGGGCGTGGTGCTGGCCACCCACCTCCTCATTAATAATCATGAGCGGACGACGTCACTCCACATGGAGCTCCCCCCCCCCCCCCCCCCATCAATAATCATGAGCTGATGACGTCACTCACGTGGACCCAGCCCCTCCACCCCTTCATTAATAATCATGAGCGGGTCATTATTTTCTATTGAATATTTCAGATGACCTGCAGTACGCCCGTCCTTTGGACGCGCTACGGGCTAGTGTACAATAACATGGGTTTAGTTCCGCGTTAGATCGTGTAAAATATAAATGCGTTGTTTTAATCCACCTCCACCACCACCACACGACGATCTCCTGTAACCGAGGTGAGGTTGTCAACATCCCGCCACCGCGCTGAGACGTTAACGAACCAAACATTCGTGTGGTGGGGTGGGGGGGTGAGTGCGGAGGATCTTTGTCTTTTGAGGGAGCAGCATCGTCCGTTGTGGGGGGGGCCTGTTCTGCAAGTGGCTCAGAGTAACTCTGTAGCTGTGTCCGTGCGTGTGCGTGTCCGTCCGTGCGTGTCCGTGTGTGTCCGTGCGTGTCCGTGCGTGTCCGTGGAGCGGCAGTGCAGCGGTTAGCGCTACGCTGCGCCATTAACCCGGCGACACGGGTTCGATTCCCGCTCACGGCCAACACCACCGGTGACGGTTATCTGAACCGGTCCTGGGCCTCCACTAGTTCGACTCGGCCTCAAATGAGTTACCCGGTGCGGTGTGTAGTAAACATCGCCGCTGTGGAGACAAAGGCCGGCCGGGCGTGGTGCCGGCCACCCACCCCCTTCGTGTGCCGTGCCGTGCCGGCCTTCACAGGTGCTGCTCGCTAACAGCACTTGCCCCCTACAAGTCTGCTGAGGCTACACGGGGGGGGGGTGGGGGGATCTCGTATGTACAGTAAAACCTTGGATTGCGAGTAACTTGATCTGCGAGTGTTTTATCTTTGTGCCCGTCCACACGTGCCCGTCCACACGTGCCCGTGCGCGTCCGCCCGTAACCACACCCCCCCCCCTGCCCGCGCCCCCACTAGAAGGGGGAGGGTGGTGGAGGCACGGGCAAGACTGGCAGAGGCCGCGCGCTGGACTGCGGCGCCGGCATAGGCCGCATCACGAAGCGACTGCTGCTGCCGCTGTTTCGCTGCGTGGACCTGGTGGACGTGACGCCGGGATTCCTGGAGCGCGCCAAGGCCCACCTGGGCCCCGAGGCGTCGTCGCGCGTCGGCAGCTTCTACTGCTGCGGCCTGCAGGACTTCTCCTTCGGCGACGTGACCTACGACGTCGTGTGGATCCAGTGGGTGATCGGTGAGTGGGGGCGCGCGGGCGAGAAGTGTTGGCCCTACCGCGTGGCCGTGTTGTGGCGGGATCACCTACAGTGCGGCCGTGTTGTGGGTGGCCCTACCGCGTGGCCGTGTTGTGGCGGGATCACCTACAGTGCGGCCGTGTTGTGGGTGGCCCTATCATGTGACTGTGTTGTGGTGGACCTACAGCGTGGCCGTGTTGTGGTTGACCCTACCGTGTGACCGTGTTGTGGTTGACCCTACCGTGTGACTGTGTTGTGGTTGACCCTACCGTGTGGCCGTGTTGTGGTTGACCCTACCGTGTGACTATGTTGTGGTTGTCTTACCATGTGGCCGTGTTGTGGTTGACCTACCGTGTGACTGTGTTGTGGTTGACCCTACCGTGTGGCCGTGTTGTGGTTGACCCTACCGTGTGACTATGTTGTGGTTGTCTTACCATGTGGCCGTGTTGTGGTTGACCTACCGTGTGACTGTGTTGTGGTTGACCCTACCGTGTGGCCGTGTTGTGGTTGACCCTACCGTGTGACTATGTTGTGGTTGTCTTACCGTGTGGCCGTGTTGTGGTTGACCTACCGTGTTGCCGTGTTGTGGTTGACCCTACCGAGTGGCCGTGTTGTGGTCGACCCTACCGTGTGACTGTGTTGTGGTTGTCTTACCGTGTGGCCGTGTTGTGGTTGACCTACTGTGTGACTCTGTTGTGGTTGTCTTACCATGTGGCCGTGTTGTGGTTGACCTACCGTGTTGCCGTGTTGTGGTTGACCCTGCCGTGTGGTGGACGCAGGCCACCTCACGGACGAGCACTTGGTGGGCTTCCTGGCGCGGTGTCGCGGCGCTCTGCGGCCCGGCGGGGTCGTGTGCATCAAGGACAACATGGCGTCACAGGCACGGCCAACACGGCCCTAGGGCCCGCACGGCCCCTAGGGCCAACACGGCCCCTAGGGCCAACACGGCCCTAGGGCCCGCACGGCCCCTAGGGCCAACACGGCCCCTAGGGCCAACACGGCCCCTAGGGCAACACGGCCCCTAGGGCCAACACGGCCCCTAGGGCCAACACGGCCCCTAGGGCCAACACGGCCCCTAGGGCCAACACGGCCCCTAGGGCCAACACGGCCCCTAGGGCCAACACGGCCCCTAGGGCAACACGGCCCCTAGGGCCAACACGGCCCCTAGGGCCAACACGGCCCCTAGGCCAACACAGCCCCTAGGCCAACACGGCCCCTAGGCCAACACGGCCCCTAGGCCAACACGGCCCCTAGGCCAAACGGCCCCTAGGCCAACGCGGCCCCTAGGGCCAACGCGGCCCCTAGGGCCAACGCGGCCCCTAGGGCCAACGCGGCCCCTAGGGCCAATGCGGCCCCTAGGGCCCGCACACGGCTCGATGGGACCAATCGGCCCACACGGCCCCGTCGTCCCTAACGACTCGGGCCCCATCGCCACTAACAAACCCCGCCGCTTTGGCCCTGAAGCGATCCTGGCCCCATCTCCGCTCACGAGAGACCCCGGCTGGCCTCGCGTGCGGAGGGGGGGGGGGGGCGAGGGAGGCACGGCGGGGGGAACGGCGGAGACGCGGTGGACGGGACGGGGCCAAGGGTAGCGAGAGGTGGACGGGACGGGGCCAAGGGTAGCGAGAGGTGGACGGGACGGGGCCAAGGGTAGCGAGAGAGGAGAGAATCCGGGTGAGACGGGGGGGGGGGGAGGGGTGGGTGGGGCACGACCTCGGAGTGATTTACAGAGCGAGAAATGTCAACGGTTAGGCGGCGGTGGCAGGCAGGGCGCCGGCGGAGTTTGGAAAGCAGAGCAGAAGTGTGGGGGGCCGGGGCGGGGGGGGGGGGGCGGAATTGTGGGCAAGGTTGTTGGAGAGGAGTGGAGTCGTCGGCGGGACGGCCGAGGGTGTAGGAGAGCGTTGGCGGTGGTGGGGGTGAGGGAACACGAGGGAGTGAACCGGGAGGTCATCGGCAGAGGTTCCCGCGGGGGTCCTCTCCTGCTTCTGGACTGGCGCCGTAGCTGTGACGCTGTGCCGTAGCCGTGACGCTTTGCCATGACTGTGATGCTGTGCCGTAGCTGTGACGCTGTGCCGTAGCTGTGACGCTTTGCCGTGACTGTGACGCTGTGCCGTAGCCGTGACGCTGTGCCGTGACTGTGACGCTGTGCCGTGATGCTGTGCCGTGACTGACGCTGTGCCGTGACTGTGACGCTGTGCCGTAGCCGTGACGCTGTGCCGTGACTGTGACGCTGTGCCGTGACTGTGCCGTTGCCGTGACGCTGCGCCGTGACGCTGTGCCGTTGCCGTGACGCGGCGCCGTGTTTCCGCGCAGGGCGTGGTGCTGGACGAGGCCGACAGCAGCGTGTGCCGTGAGCTGTCTCTGGTGCGCGCCCTGGTGGAGCGCAGCGGCCTGCGAGTGGTCGCCCAGGAGCCCCAGGACAACTTCCCCAAGGAGATCTACACCGTGTGGACGCTCGCGATGCAGTAGCCGTGCGTGGGAGGCGGGGTGCCCGCCAACCGCGGCGTTGGCGGTGTCGTTAACGCAGCTTCGCGGGAAGGGTATTTGCCAGCAGCGGGGGGGGGGGGGGGGGGGGGAATGGCGTTGGGCGAAGACGCTTCGACTTTGTGCTCAGGCCCAGGTCGCGGCGGGTCGTGGCTCACGAGAGTTCTGGCCGCCGCCGTGCTACGGATGGGCAAGGGGGGGCGCTCGATCGTCCGGCGTTGCGGGCGACGGAGACCCGAAGTTTCCGTCATAGCCAAGCCCGGGGGGTTGGGGGGGGGTTGGGGGGGGGGTTGGGGGGGGGGGGGTTTGGGGGGGGGGTGTTGCCGCGGGATCGCGCGATGTGCCCGCGGGGTTCCCGTCGTCGTTGGTTTTCTTCCGCCACGCGAGGATCGTAGCGACCGCGCACGGACGGCACACGACAATAAAACATTTCAGAACGTGCACGTTGCCGTCACGAATGCACGGTCGATTTTCCGGGCGCGACTCTGGTGGTGGCGGGGGGGTGGGGGGGGGGGGTTGGGGTGGGGGATGGGGGGATGGATGGGGGGGATCGCCCCACGGAGCCCTCGGCTCGGGGGGGGGGGGCGGGGGGTTCCTCCTCGCACCCCGGCTTCCGGCGTGGATGGGCGAGCGGCCTTCACACAGCCGTCACTCTTACAAGCGGCGGTGACTTTGACGGCTTCGTTGCTGCTTCGGCTCCTCTGTGCAGCTGCCGCGTGTAGCTGCTGCTGCCGCCGCCCACAGCTGCTGTGTGTAGCTGCTGCTGCGTGTAGCTGCTGCTGTGTGTAGCTGCTGTGTGTAGCAGCTGCTGTGTGTAGCTGCTGCTGTGTGTAGCTGCTGCTGCTGTGTAGCTGCTGCTGTGTGTAGCTGCTGCTGTGTGTAGCTGCTGCTGTGTGTAGCTGCTGCTGTGTGTAGCTGCTGCTGCTGCTGCTGTGTAGCTGCTGTGTGTAGCTGCTGCTGCTGCTGTGTGTAGCTGCTGTGTGTAGCTGCTGCTGCTGTGTGTAGCTGCTGCTGCTGCTGTGTGTTGCTGCTGCTGTGTGTAGCTGCTGCTGCTGTGTGTAGCTGCTGCTGCTGCTGTGTGTAGCTGCTGCTGCTGTGTGTAGCTGCTGCTGCTGCTGTGTGTTGCTGCTGCTGTGTGTAGCTGCTGCTGCTGTGTGTAGCTGCTGCTGCTGCTGTGTGTAGCTGCTGCTGCTGTGTAGCTGCTGCTGCCACCGCCGTGCGCAGCTGCTGTGCGTGTATCTGCAGTGCGTAGCTGCAGTGTGTAGCTGGATGCGATTCCAAACGTTTGGATCGGCCGCAGATTAACGGCGCTCTGCCCGGGTACGGTCGCGGTTCGGGAGGGGGAGGACGGAGGGCGAGTTTTTATTTTCATTATTTGTCCAGGTAACGCCCACTGAGCCACTTTGTCAGAGGCGACCTGGCCACAAGTGATGGCCTCAACGAAGCGGCTCGTCGTCGTCATCATCATGATCATCGTGTGGACGCAGCGTTACGCTTGGGTTAACGGGGAGAACGGAAAAACTTGAGCCGACAAGTACCGTAACAAACATGAAGTGGGCGAGGTGGGGGGGGGGAGAGACATGACGGAACAACCAGAATGGACTCTTCTTTAGATTGGAATGGAATGGTGACCCCCACTAAATTGTGGGATCGTCGCGTTGGGGAATCGATGGGGGGGGAGGTGGGGGGGAGTTTCGTGACGCTGCGGTGCGAGTCTTGAGCGCAGGGGTCTTAACGTGAGCCAGCGCCTTTGGAGGACGCAACTGGCCCCAACAGTCCGTTAGGGCTAAACGAGTCGTTCATCTGTGTCGGGGTGGTGGTGAGGGTGGTGTCGGGGTGGTGGTGAGGGTGGTGTCGGCGTGGTCGTGAGGGTGGTGTGTGTGCGTGGTAGTGTGTGTGTGTGTGCGTGGTAGTGTGTGTGTGGTAGTGTGTGTGTGTGTGCGTGGTAGTGTTTGTGTGTGTGCGTGGTAGTGTGTGTGCGTGTGGTAGTGTGTGTGTGTGTGCGTGGTAGTGTGTGTGTGCGCGTGGTCGTGTGTGTGCGTGGTCGTGTGTGTGCGTGGTCGTGTGTGTGCGTGGTAGTGTGTGTGGTAGTATGTGTGTGTGCGTGGTAGTGTGTGTGTGCGTGGTAGTGTGGTAGTGTGTGTGTGCGTGGTAGTGTGTGTGTGCGTGGTAGTGTGTGTGCGTGGTAGTGTGTGTGCGCGTGGTAGTGTGTGTGTGCGTGGTAGTGTGTGTGTGCGTGGTAGTGTGTGTGCGCGTGGTAGTATGTGTGGTAGTGTGTGCGTGGTAGTGTGGGTGTGTGTGCGTGGTAGTGTGTGTGTGCGTGGTAGTGTGTGTGTGTGTGCGTACCCTCGGAGTTCACCTCGCCTGGCACAAGCGCCGCCAATTAGTGTCTAACCACGAAAGCAGCAGCAGCAGCGGCTTTTGGCTCGGCGGTCGAACCAAAAGGCGGCGGTCACCGCTGCATCGCGCGGCGCTTTCAGATGCGCTGCTTCTGCGGCCGTCTGGAACGCTCTTCCCTTCCGATGTTAGGGTCCGCCCACTGGGAGCTGCGCACTTTTAAATCGGCATCTAGATTGATCAAACTCATTTCTTTAGAACTGCTTTTTGTGTTTATTTTGTCGTCCGTCGCCCCCCTCCCCCCGCACCTCCGGTTGGCTACGTACGGTGCGAAAGAAGTCGGACATACACACCTCTACACAACAACTATGCACACACGTTCACCTGTTTACGTACAAAGACAAAGATCCCCCCGTGTAGCCTTAACATGCCGACCCAAAAACACGCGCTTACGCTGCGGCCACCCGCGAACGCTCTCCCGACATTAGGAAGCGCTATGCGCTTTTAAATCGTCATCTGAATTGGCAAACGTTTCTTTCGAACTGCTGTTTCGTGTTTAGTTTCTTGTCCTTGCCACCCCCTCTCTCTCTCTCCCCCCGCACCTCCGACGAGCACGGTTGGCTACGTACGGTGCGAAAGAAGCTCAATGCGCACGTGAGTCGCGACGTGTCGTAGGGTTACGTTCAGCACCGAGAAAGTCCCCGTGGAATGTAGCCGTGTTCAGTTCACCCGACCCGTCGAAGACTCCGCGTCACGCACGTGTGTCGAGGATTATTGTTTTATTTGTTTTTACTTTTTCCTCCATTCCAACTAAAGTATTCCCATAGCGTGTCGACCCATCACGCGTTCTTGTACAGGGACATTGAGTTTTCAGGTCCATACGGCATACCAGCCATTTCAATAGGGGCAAAACAAATATATTGTTTTTGTCTATTTTGTTTGTGTGTTCTCCCTTGTGATGGGACTTTGTAGGATGAACGTTGAGATTTATAAGGGTCACGGGGTGACCAATAAGGTCTGAATTGGTCTGTACTAAGGTAGGGCACTGATAAGGGGTTGACAGGTGTGTAGTTGTGAGTGTAGTAGTGGTAAGTGTCGTAGTGGTGAGTGACTATTTGTGTTTCTCCCTTGTGATGGGACTTTGTAGGATGAACGTTGAGATTTATAAGGGTCACGGGGGTGACCATTAAGGTTCTGAATTGGTCTGTTATAAGTTAAGGGGTACCGATAAGGGGTTGACAGGTATGAAATTCCCTTCCCCGGCCTGTCAACTTAAAAAAAAAACGACGACTCCCCGCAGCCTCGTTCCGGGCGACCCTCCCCGCCGCCGCTACCGCTCGCTGACCGCAGATGGCGCTCGGGCACCGTTTCGGGTGGTCGGGGAGGTGGGGAGGAAGGAGAGTGGGAGATTGGAGGGAGATGTGCGGCGTGAGACGGACGGACTGGACTAGGGAAGACGGCCTTCCAGGAGACGTGCTGTTCCAGATTCACCGGGCCGATGTCACTTTGCCCCCCCCCCCCCCCTTCACGGACGCGCGAGGTGTCGCATCGTCGACGACGAAATGTCCCAGAATTAAAAAAAAATCAGCAATAAGTGTCGTGACCCCCCACCCCCCCCAGCGTCACGAAGTGGTGGCGTCTTCATCGCGACGGCGGCGGCGGCGACGAAGCGGTCCCCGCGATGAGCCGTTCCGGGATATAGGAGGAGGTTTTCCAGCGTCACGAGGCGGCGCTGGGGGCAGGTGGCCCAGCGCGTGGGTGTTCCTTGTCTCGAGAGAGGCCCTGGCGGCTGCTACCGCTGCTGCCGCTGTCCATGGGCTGCGTCTCGAGGATGGCGCGTGGCGAGCGATCCGTGTGGCGCCGGTGTGCGGCAGGGTCCTCCGGCAAAGGTCCCCTGCCGACGGCCGGTGTCGCTCGTCACGGCCGTGGCCTTTTTCAACACGCGCACGCCACCGGCCGAACTTCCATCCGCGCGAACTTTTGACATTAGAACTCAGAGGTTGGAGAACGTGGTTTTTGGTGTGCGCGCGTGTGTGTGGTTCTGCGCCTATGGTACTGCTTTGAAACAATTAAACATTTTAACTACCGGCGAAATGTCGCAGGACTCAAATTGTAAATGTTGTGGTGGGTTTACTCTCCAACACGCCGGTGTGCTGTACTAGTAACGAATTGGCACGTTTTGTTTAAATGACAAACCTTACGAATTGTGTCGGGTGGTGGTGGGCTTAACGACGCATTTATATGTAAGCGACATAGCCCTAAAAACCTCATGGATAATATTAGTCGCGATAGTTAAGCTGAACATTTTGTATTTTCCCAGGTAAGCCCCCCCCCCCCCCCCACTGAGCTGTGTAGCTCTTTTTAAGAAGCGACAAATGAAAGCTCAACTAAGTGGCTTATCATCACGTGGCAATTTATAGTGGCCGAAAACTCTCAACGCGTGTCTCTAAATGTCGAGGGAAGACCCGGAGAAATATCCCCGTGACCACAGGGAAAGAGAGAGACAGAGACACTCAAACTCCAAATACCAGGGGCGGAGCCAGGATTTTGACTTGGGGGGGGGGGGGGGGGGGGGCTGACTTCAATATTCTGAGATATCCAGTGTAATGTTCTCCAATGGGCGCCACAAATGTATAAAACTTATTTTATTGGATTTGAACGCGGAGTTTATTAATAGGTCGGAGCCGCTGATGTGGCCGATAAGTTCGATAAGTTCGAAAGGCTGCCGCTCAAGCAGCCTGCAGGGCAGCACACAAGGTGGCAGCCTGCAGGGCAGCACAAGGTGGCAGAACGAGCTGGCAGCCTGCAGGGCAGCACATGGTGACAGCTCAAGGTGGCAGCCTGCAGGGCAGCACAAGGTGACAGCCTGCAGGGCAGCAGCACAAGGTGGCAGCACAAGGTGGCAGCCTGCAGGGCAGTACAAG